CCCCAGGCACTGACCCCTTTAAAAGACTGGACCCCAGTTCCTTGGGAATCTTTCTCAAGATGATGTTCCCAGCCCCTTCTCTCTCTCTCTCTCTCTCTTTTTTTCCTCCCTAGTTTTAAGGATAGTAGGTGCTTCTCTATCTGAACTCTGCTTGATACCAGGAGATTCTGAAGTTTATTTGATCACATCCATGTCCTTTAATAAAGTGCTGCTCTCCAATAGGAAGTGTCACACTAGTAATTCATAATATGAAGTCACATCACAATTAACTAAAAGCATCATTCTTATTGATTGTAATGAAATAATCCTGAGAATCAAGTGTCTTCACTTCATAATTTTTATAGTAGTTATGAGGGATATAAGAACTGTGCGGGGGTTGGTCCTCTTCTGACTGCACTGGAGAATCAACAGGCAGAAAAGTATGAGCTCGGGCTTTTAATTCTCAGTTCAAGTAATAGAGAACAAAGGAACTTCTATGGAAGTCTCCGAAGAATCTCTTATTTCTTGTAGCTACAAGGCTGGCTTCTCTTAAATAGTAGATGCATATTTTAATTGTGCTGAATTTAGAATTACAATATAAATCAAATCGTACATTGGCCATGTCTCTCATGAGAAAGTCAGGACATTAATTGGGAAGGAAAGTGAGGTTGAAACTTGTATGGTGACATATGAATGGACTTTAACAGTGCTTAGAATCTTAGAACTCTAAGGTTTTCTACGATTTTTTTTTAAAGATTTTTATTTGCAAGAAAATAAGCACGGGCTTGCATGCTTGACTAGAGGGAGGGCGGCAGAAGCAGAAGGACAAGCAGACTTCTTGCTGAGCATGGAGCCAGATGCAGGGCTCCATGTGAGGCTGGATTTCAAGATCCTGAAATAATGACCTGAGCCAAAATCAAGAGTCAGATGGTGAACTTACCGAGCCACCAAAACTCCTGTCTAAGACTTTCTTAGTGATGGAAGCAGTCCACCTTCCTGGATGTGAGAGGACTATCCTGCTCTTGGCTTAAGACCCTTCAGTAATTCTGTCAGGTAAAAAAATTGCAAATTAACCAGTTGACAGGCTGAGAGAAAAGGGTAATAGAAGAAGGAAGTTATTTATATCAACTACAATCATGTAACTCATTACACGGATGGGGACTATAGAAGGTATGCATATCTTATTCCTTACTTGCTATTACTTTTTAGACATATATAGAGTTCTATCTTTCTGTAAAGGTCACATGGGTATTTAAATAAATCTCAACAAATTGATATTTGTATGTATCAAATACTTTCTTTTGATTTCCCTTCCATTCCCTTACTGTTTTATGGAAAGGTATTTTCATCATAGACAGGCTTACAATTGAATTTTTGGGAAACAGATTATTCAAGTAGGACCGTGATTATATTAGAAGATTAAATATCATCATTCAGAAATGGATGCTGTGATCCTTGCCTAGAAATAGATATGATGGCTGTTTGGATTTTGTGTATCTCTTTCTTGGACAAAAGATGAGAGCATTTTGTTTTTATAAAGGATAATTGCATCTTATTGTTCTGAGATAGTATACATATGCACAGAAGTGAATGTACAGTACCAAGTAACTGAGAAGGTGAAGTTTGTCTGTTATTAAACATTTATCTGTCATCTCCAAATCCAACCTTCCATACTCTATTTGTGATACTCGGGCTGGGACTCAAGTTTTCATTTCTTCTCTGCCACTGTCAGGTTATTCTTAGAGAAGGCACTGGAGGCAGATTAGGGAGCAGGTGGAAAGGGAAGGGAAAAGAACATTCTCTTTTTTGTTGACTTGCTTTGCCTTTTAATGTTACCCTTCACCTTGTGAAAACAGTTAATTCCAGTCTCCAGTGTTTTGCATTCCCAGAACAAGCCTCATTATGCCTTCCAAGGTATCAGTTTCAGTCAAGCAACACCTCTTCCTTGCAAGTCTGATCCCAAATGTGCAAGTGTTCTCCTGCACATGACTAAGATTCTAGCAGCACGTGGACAGACCACAGAGGTCTGAGATGCAGCCCCAAGGTGCCCCTCTTCTGATTACCTGTGATTCCACCATCAACCATGTGGTATCCTGCCCTTGGAAGTCTGATTCTCAGCTCTGGGGTTTCCTTCTCTGAGCTACTGAGCTATCCTCTTCTCTTCTGAGGTTGATTGAGTCCAGCTCTATAAGACCTCTTGCCTAACGTTTCAGGCTCTGTAAATCTTATCAGCTTTCTTTTGGTGTTTACTCCTATAGGTACTATCTCTGTGTTTCTCATTTATCAGTTCCTTCTATACTAAATTCTCTTGAAACACATAATCTAGTTTCTGTTTTACACAGTCCTAATTTGTGTTGGCTGGGGTAAGTTATGTGGCCATTCAGATTCAGTTCCTTACCAGTTTTATTGATGGGTGGTTATAGAAGGGATGGTTCAAATAATATAAAAGTGATGTTTCACCACCTTTTCTGGTGAATACTAGTCCCAACATTTTCTCCCTTCAAAACAATACTTATGGCCATGTGTATTTGGGAAATGTTAAATACTATAGCAAACTGTGGGAGAATCATAGTACACATAAGCATAATAAAGGCTTTGAGAAGTCCAGCAGGAAAAAAAAAACTTATTTTACTCTAATTCAGTATCTCTTCACAAATTATTTAGCTAGGAAAACTGTTTTATTTTCAGTTAATGTCTATCACCATGCCATGACATACATTGAATAATAGTATTCTCTAGAATCCTTAGCAATTTAGAAGTTTTGTAATTTAATGAATTTTTTTCAAGATGTTTTTATTGAGGAGAAATCTAATGCCAATAGATTGGTTTTACTTATCTCTTTCAGCTCTAAGCATAAATGTTGACTGAAAGTAATGTCCTTTGCAGTGAAATGTAGAAAGAATGCTGAGGAAGGGGCAGGAAGGATGTCAGAAAACCAGGAAAATTATTACAGGAAATGAAAGACAAGATGAGAGAATTCTGGAGAAGATTAAAAATAGAGTCACAATGGGTCCTATGAAGATATGTATGGTTATGGTTAAGTGAACAAGCTATGAATTTACACTGCTTAAATATGACTCTAATCTATGTCACCTGAGTGCCACTTGCTTTTGAAGAAAATGAGTTACCTTCTCTGTACCTTGATTTCTCATCTTTAAATGGAAGATAATAGCAGTATATACTTCACTGGTTTATGAGGAAGATTAAATGTAATGTAGCATATAAGATGATAACACTTGCCTAGTATTTGATGTACTCTCTAAAACAGAAGCAGGCCATATTGAGTTAGACTCATTTAATTTACATAGAAAAGAATTGTAATGAAACAACCGTAAATTATTCAAAATGGAAGGACTCTAAAGGGCATCTGATCAATCCCTCGTATCCTATAGCTGAAAATACAATGAAGTTTCCCAGAGACTGAGATTTGGTCAGGGAGCTAATTCATAGAGACATTGGATGGAGATCTCCGTCTTCTCACCTTTAGCAGAGAGCTATTTTAATTACCCTCTAACTTGTTGGGCTATAGAATTTTTGCATTTTTCTGGATTAAGTCAAGAACAGTAATCTCAAAATATTTCTTTCTGTGTTCATAGCTCAGGGTGACCTCAATGACCTCAATTTAAGATGCAACAACAGCTAATGAAGGGTTTATCAATAATGAGTTTTCCTATGCCTAGTTCCTGTTTCTCTAAGACTGTTATTCTGTGTGGGAGAAGCATGGATAAAGTCAGCATCAGGAAGAGTTGGGATAGCAGAAAGAGAGAAAAGTCTTATTCATTTTTTTTTTTCAGCTTTATTGAGGTAAAAGTTGACAAATAAAATTTTAATATTTACAGTGTACTGTGTGATGATTTGATATAAGAATACATTAAGAAATGATTCCCCTTACTGAGTTAGTCAACATATCCATCACCTCACATATTTCCTTTTAAATTTTTTTTTTTTTGCTGAGAACATTTTAATGCTCTCTTACTAAATTTCAATTATACAATACAGTGTTCTACTGTAGTTAGCCTGTTATATATTAGATTCTCAGACTCTCTTCATCTTATAACTGAAAGTGTGTGGAGGGAACAGGAAGGAGATGAAAGATTGACTCTGAAAACAGACTCAACTCTTCAATGTTTAGGGTGAGGTGACTGAGCTGACCTGTCCTGTACCTTCTACTTGTTAGAATCATCAGGGACACTAACATTAAGTAGAGTGTCTTAATTTCTTCATACTTAAGAGAAGTCTTCTCCCTAGCTTTATTAAATAGATCCAGAGAACCATGTTTATTGTTTTATTTAGTGGTATACATAGGTAGAAAATATGAGCTATAGCCACAGTCATAATATAAAAGGTTTTGTTATAGTTTCATTGTTTTCTACAATTTCATGGAATTATGATGAACATATTATTTTGAAAGAAGAGCTTACTGAGATAAAATAGCACTGTATTGCAGCCCAACTAAAGCTATGTACATATGCATACTTTTTAAAATTGATCTATTCATTGAGGTAAAATAGCACAGCAAGGTTAAAAAAAAATGGCTAAGCTCAATATGGGCTTGACACTGAAAACCATTTTACTAGCATAAAGGCCTCCAACATGCTGGTATTAAATCTACTGATAAATATTTAGACTATTTATATTTTGCTGTCTTTGAGAACTAAGCCAAAATAAACATAGTTTAAGGCAACATTTGGAAGTGTTGGCCTTTCTTATTTTATATTCTTTGTGGTAAATGCTCTTCACAGTGACAATTAAAATATTGAACAATGAAGGACAAAGATTGGCAAATTCCTCTTAAGTCCATCTTATTCTCTTACAAACTTTTTCTCCAACATACAGAAAAGTCATATTTTTCAACAACCTTCAACTTCTAGTGTTGAGGAGTAACATTAGTGCTTTCTGACCCACACATGCTACTCAGAGCTATATGTTACAGATTTTCAGTGTTCAGAAAAGCATCTATACAAGTCTCAATGCTATCAGAAAATGAGAACTTACAACATCCAAGTTGTCCTGGCTGCAAACTATTCAACACTGCTGCTCACTTCCATCGTGTCTTTGGAAAGGTAAACTACCCAGTATACAAGGTTAAATCCTGCAAATGCAACTGGGAAGAGAATCCGAGAATACTGGTCTATTTTACTGGTGCCTCCAAAGGCTGGAGAGAGTGGTGGGGGTGTGACAGGTGATGATGGTAAGATAGGAGCTCTAGTGAGGACTTTGCTGGCCTCAGGGGATGGAACTACTGGCAAGGTCAGAGAGGTGATTCTTTTCTTCAGGTGATACTTGGAATCAGGATGCTGTAGGCAAAAGACATAAATATTCAGCCTAGGTAAAAGACTAGTGATCACTTAGTTATTTACTTTTTCACCGTGAACAGATTTTATTGACTACATACTATGTAAGATGAAATATTAGCAAATTTCTTTTTCTTTGTTTAAGATTTTATTTATTTATTTGACAGACAGAGATCACAAGTAGGCAGAGAGGCAGGCAGAGAGAGAGAGGAGGAAGCAGGCTCGCTGCTGAGCAGTGAGCCCGTGCGGGGCTCAATCCCAGGACCCTGGGATCATGACCTGAGCCGAAGGCAGAAGCTTTAACCCACTGAGCCACGCAGGTGCCCCGCAAATTTCTTTTTTAAGATTAGCAAATTTTTAATAGTATTTGGTGGTCCTATCTTTCTAAGAAAGTGGCAAAATAAATAAAAAAAAATGATTTGCTGCCATCCAAAACCCTATAATTTCATACATCAGCAATTGATGCCAAGCATAGTCTACATCCCAGAAACTGTGTTGACCGCTGGGCCATTAGGAAGAGATAAACCAGGTTGCAAAGGTTTATCCAACCCCTTCTCCCTGGTAATGCATAAACCGATAGGGCAATGAGTGTGGGCAACGAGAGGGATTTCAATTTGGAATATATGGACAATTAATTAATACAAGAAAATATAGCAGTTCAGTTAGATGATATCATTCTTCTAGCCTACATCCTCATCTTCACACGTTCATAAGTGTGACGCAGCTGAGATAATAGCCACAAAAAATACTAAGGTGCTCATGTATGTGAAAAGCCAGTGACAGAGTACCAATACCCTTAAACTGAATGGGATGACTGTTCATCCCTTGAAATACAGCTGTCTCTTAAGTTCAGAAGTTCAATATTGAGAGCTTTCTGCTTCCCATTCAGAACTTCTCCACTGGTCTCTTCTCCCTCCATCCTAAGTCACCAAAAAATGATTCATTTACTGACCTCAAAATTGTTACATGTTCTTTTTCGTCATTAGAAATCTTAAGACAACCCATTTAGTCCTGAAAGGGATATTTAGTACATTAATTGTTAGATGAAAAGGCTAAGTCCAGAGAATGGAGCTGGTAATACCTTGCCCATAGTCACACAGTTAGTAATAAACTACACTGATCATTTGCGATCCTTGTTTCATCATCCCCACATTTTCTTGTCTTCATTTTAAAGTATTGGGTCTAGTGCAGGGACTCTAGTTTTGTTTGCTTTAGACTCTTTTCATACTTGGAGACTAGAGGACCTTGCTCTGATTTGTATCTTTTCTTGTCTATATTCTGTACTAGTCACTCTCATTGTGACCAGGTTGTCCTTGCTGGTTTCTGCCTTCAAACACTTGCTGTACATTATCTCTGCTCTTGTAAAACTACCTTGTTTTCTCCCTGGCAGCAAAATCACCACTTTGATGCCTGGCAGGGTATGTTACTCACGTGGGCAGACTCCTGTGGCTTTAGCCAACAACCCCGCAGCAACAGGATGAGGCAGCCACCTCCCCTGTGCCGGCTGAGCCACAGGACCAGAGTGACCTGCCGATGTGGTGACATTTGGAGTGCGAGAATCAACAATTCTAAGAACCTCTTCTCTCTATAGTCCCCTTTTGAATTTTGCTGTTTGATTTGTCATGGAATTTACTGAGTATCTAAATAATAATAGTCATCATTGAGAGTTCAAGCCCAGTGTACATTTAAAGGCTGTGGGAAAATCTTTTCACCAAAAGCAAAAATGACTCTCTGTAGTTAAGTCTGATGGTGAGTTGCAAGGAAAGAATATCTTTTTTTGTTATATATTGGGCCAGTATTATCCTAGGGACTCTTGACATAATTAAATAAATCATAGGTTTTGGTGGTAAAGATAATTTAAAATAGTGAGGGCTCAGTCTGCTGATCTTGGGAAATAAGTGATACTTTCTACTAAAAACATGTGACAGCTAAGGACTACTGTATCCAGGGTCACTGGTCAGCATGTGGATAGGACCAGAGTAGTGGTATGTTGGTCTCAGTGTATGCTGCCTATGGAGAATAAACATAGCACCTACTTTCCAGAGTTTCTATTGTGTATCTCAGGCTCTAATTTGAATTTTTAGCCATTAACTATGTTACTGAAATATTCTCCACCTAAAAGAGCAAATGTGTTAGTGTTTCATTTTCAAAAAAGAGTCAACCTCTTCCCAGATACATGGAATATTAAAATATTTTACTCTAGTAAAATTTCTAAGGATCATGATAGAGTAAAACAAGGGCAAGCCTTAGAGTAGATAGTCTTTCTAAACTCATGATTTTTAATAGCATGCATTGCCTATGTTTATTTCTTTTTTTTAATTTCTTTTTTTAAGGAGAAAGAGAGCAGACATGAAAAAGTTCATTGATAAAACATAAGTTCATTATAAAACAATCTACCATAAAGATGTAAGTCATTGTTTTATCTCTCCCTCTTTAGAACTGTGGGGGAGAAAAGTTAATTGTCAATCTTTTGACATTGTCACAATGTCACACATGACTTACTAAGAATTACCAAATGACCCTTGTCTGGAGTTAAGCAACATCACTAAAAACACCATGAAAATTTTAATGGCATTAAATTTTGGGCCTGGAATGAAAGATCCCCTACAACAGTATTCCCCTTTCCTCATCTGCTTCTCCAAACAATTTCAATGGAAGGTTCCTTGAGAGTTAAGTGGACAAAAGAGTCAGAAAGCCCTTGAGTGCAGTTCCATATGTACTACTTACCTGCCATATGAAGTTCCCATCTTTAAAGCTAGGGACAATTATTGCTTTCTCTGTAAGTTTTTCTTTTCTTTAAGAATTTGAGAAAGAAAATATTCATAGATAAGATAGATGGATATTATATATATTATATATATATAATAGATTTTCAAGAAAGAGAACCCTTTTCTGCTTACTTAACTGTTATAATTTGTTCAGCTCTTATCACATTCTTCCTTGTGAATATTATTTCTGTTCTGCCTTATCTCTTTTCCTGACATGAAATCTCTTTATTGGTAGAGGGCATCTTATTGTCAAGTATAAGCACTCCACAGTGCCTAGTTAGTGCACAGAACATGGTATGTGCTTAGTAAGCATATGCCGATGCAACAAATGAATGAAAATCTGAACATTTCCAGAATTTCTCAAGTAATCAGGCAAGGAGAAGAAAACAAAAAATTTTATGATTATTTAACATTGTATTTTAGTGTCTTGTTTCATATTACAAGTACCATATCTGAATGCTTACAATCGACAAACACTACACAGACTTTACATGCATTATTTTGCTAATTCCTAGAAAAAGAAACTATGATGAAATATTATTATTTTCATTTTAGAGATAATCAAATGAAGGCTTAAGTGGGAAGCTCACCCAGTAACTGGCAGTGCCTGAATGTGCTCACTCTCAGATGCTAAAGATCACACTCTAAATAATTATTATGGTTTCTCCCCATCAGTGTTAAGGTTCAGGGTACAGTTTCTCAAACACAGAACTATTGACATTTTGGGGTCACAACGTTTTTGTTGTGGGTCACTGTCCTGTACTTCATAGGATGTTGAAGAGCTTCAGTTGTGGGTTCTACTTCTACCCAGGAGATGCCTGGAGCATCTCCCTCCCCAAAGTGGTGACAACCCAAAATATCTCCAGACATTGCAAACTATTCTCTGGGGAGAAAAGTCACCTACCACTGAGTATCACTGGCTTAGAGTTATAGCTGTCTCACTGTCCAGCGGCGACTGGGGGTGTTTCTAGCAGGCAGCAAATATGACATAATCAAGGAAATGGAAGAGGTCTGGCTAACCCACATGCTGGATAATCAGCTCCTGAATAATTGGGAAATGGCAGTACAGGAAACCGGACTCCAATTTAGAAGAATCACATTGAATTTCTGAAGTGAAAAGAAAGCCAATTTTGCAAGCCATTCAAGATACAGGTTTGCATCAGACCCCGCCTGTTCTATTGTAAGCTCAGCAGCTTCAGCTGATGGTAAAATAGGTTTTTGTCAGAGTCCAGATGAGGGCTCAGCTTGGGGCTGTCACTGTTTTGAGTGGAACACCTGTGGTTTTGAATTTTTCCAGGGCTCCCCTGCTGCTGAATGCCATCCTGCTTTGGGTATTTATAGAGCATTGCTTTGTTTTAAATAATGCCATATTGCAAAGGTATTTTGAGTCAAACTGGACTTTATGACAATCAATTATTTGATGTAAAGATAAGACATTTGGAAAGTACTTAAAGCAATTTTGATACAACATTCAGTAACTCTAATATTTAAAGAGGAGGGGGCACTGGGTTACCTCTCAAGATAGATATTCTAACCACAGCTACATTATCCAAGGGACAAAAAAAGCATCTGTTTTTAGAAGCAGCAAAGAGAGGCACCAAATATAAGAGAAATTTGAAAACATTTAGTACTTGATTAAAAAAACTATTATATTAATTATTGTGGAGGAAGTAAGAATTTCAAATCAAATTTTCTTGCATCTACGTAATAGCTGGTAGAATTGGGACAGAGACGATTCCAGAATTTCTACAAAGAAGCAGCTTTTTGGCAGCAATCTGGTGGGTCAGTGGTGCTAGGTACATGTCCAGAAACCATATTGGAATGTTTGGATGGTAAAGAAGGGAATATTGGATGAGGATTTGATAGAAGGTATAGGGAAAAAACTAACCACCCGCACCCCTCATCTAATCCAACCTACCCTCTCTTTAAATTATGAAATAGCACAACCATGGTGCAGGGACTGAGTCTCAGAGGGCTACAGAGTAATGATAGTGTTCAAAAAATCTTGACAATATTTGGAACACGGGAGGTTAATCTTTCAGTATTCTATGCTTTCTATCTCTGTACATGGGTGGAAGGCAACCGTGATAATGACCCAGCAGATCATCCCAACCTTGAAAGGGAATATGGAAAGGATATGTCTTATTTCTCTCTCTATTCCCAAGTTTCTAGCAACTGATTTAGTGTTTCTAGAACAGGACCAAGCTCATCCTTCGGTTCTCAGCTGATGCAACACTTCCTCCAGAATGATGCTCTCTCCAGCCTGTGGTAGGTACCCTTGCATGACTCTTCATTAGCCACTATACATCTCTAATACAGCCTTTATCACAATGTATCATTATGGCTCATATATTTGTCTTTCTTCCTGTTCAGCAAGAAGCTCATGAAGGAAGAGGCAGTACTGATGTCACTCACTAATATATCCCTAGCATTCTACAAAGGATATAGAACATAAGATCATTTAACAAGTACTTATAATATGAATAATTCATTGAATACATATGTACTCAATAAATGGGTGCCAGATGAAAAGGGAAATAATAATGAATAAACAATATAAGCAGTATAAATATAATCATTGTCCTGACTAATGAAATTTTGGCCAATTTTGTTGTAGATAATTTACCAAGAACGTCACACTTCCTGTGAAAAAAGAAAACGAGACTGGATGTGTCAATGGGTGGGGGGAGTTCATTCTTAAGAACATAATAATGAGGGCTTAGACCTTTAAAATAACAAGGAATCTAGCAAAACATCCAAAAAGTGATTGAGGTCTAAACTTGGTCTCATATGCAGAATAAGTATACCCCAGATACATAACAATTTATAAAACATGAAGATAAGACTAATTCTTTAATGACAAGACAAGAAACCAGATAAAAGCAATAAGGAGAAGGGAGTTGAGGGAAATTGGAAGGGGAGATGAACCATGAGAGACTATGGACTCTGAAAAACAATCTGAGGGTTTTGAAGGGGCGGGGGGTGGGAGGTTGGGGGATCCAGGTGGTGGGTATTGGAGAGGGCACGGATTGCATGGAGCACTGGGTGTGGTGCAAAAATAATGAATACTATTACGCTGAAAAATAAAAATATTTTTAAAAAAGCAATAAGGAAAAGTACTGTAAAAGCAGTAAAGAAGCTGTGGATAATTTCTTCTCATAATCTAAAAACAAAACAAAACAAAAAACCCACAAAAAAACAAGAAAACAACAACAAAAAAATCCAAAACCCAGTATCTAGTTCAAACTACCTTAAAACCAGAAAGCACTTCTGAGGTATTAGTTTTAAATATCTCTTCAGGTTTGAGTATTAGATTTAAAACTCCTGAATTTCCTTGTCATTATTATATTAAATTTCAAGGTCAAAATCAAAGTGATAAACTGTTTCCTATATTCATTCTAAGTAGCTTCTTGTAAGAAGCAATGAGGACATTAAAATATAACTTAGAATCACATGAAACATCTAAGCACTTAATTTTATTTCAACCTCACCACATTGGTTTGCTATTTCAATGTCTAACTTACTCAAATAATGCTATTTTGATTAGAACTGAATAGGCACTTTTAAATGTCACGGTATTTGAAAGAAAAAATGGCCTCGCAATCATAATATACCATTGTGTTGTATAAATTGCAAATGTGTAATTTATGTTTGTTCCTCTACATCATATAAGGCAAATTGCCAAGGTTTGACATGAATAAATAAAATGTAAATGCTCTATGTAATCATCTATATTTATTTTTGATACCTACAAAGTTTGTATTGCTAGGTTTGCTTATTTTGGTCTTTATTTTTACTCTTTGACCTGCCCTTTCAGAAACAAAATGGTACTTTTCATTACCTCAAAATGTTTTAAGTGAAGCCAGGTTTAGAAATAAAATTTTTCATAAAAAAAAGTCAGCTTGCAAGAAAAAAGTACTTTGAGATGATTTAAATGCATTTTTTTTATCCAGCTTCCCAAAGGACCTGCTCATTATATGTTACTATTTTAGAATTGTGGAAGATAGCTTATATGAAGACCTGAGATCTTAAATTCCATCTTATTAATAAATTATATCTTTAAAATAATAGAGAATTCTAACTCTATTCTTTCTCCAAGGATTTGAAATCATATTCTTCTCAGTAATACATATTTCAAAAGAGTTAAAGTAAGGAAGTTGGTCTTTCTTTTCATCTCAATACCAGATCAATGAACATATTCAAAATCATTGGACTTATTTTTTTTTATCTTGTTTCTTATGACTCTCTCTTTGCAATTTTACTGCATTTCTAAAAGGAAACTACTAAACTGAACTCTGATAAATATGAATTCTTCATTTATAGATATATGTTAAGACGATATGTGATCAATTGGGCAATACCTATATAGATACCGACAGCTTATAACATAATCACTTACTTTTATAAACATAAGCTGATTCTCAAAAATATTCTGAAAACAATATTTTCAAGGGTTTTGGATTGAGTCTTCAGACTAGTATCCTTCTGCTATAAAATGTATATACTTGTGGTCTTTCAAAATACACATATACAAAAAAAACATCATTAGGTCAAGAGAAGAATTTTGGGAATGACCTCACATTCTGAAAATGTTTTATTTTGTGGTATGCACTCTTTTATATATCAGCCTTTGAGGAATTGTTGGAGAGGGGATAGCCTCTGCCTCTGTAAATCTGTGTATATTGGACTCCTGCAATCAATTCCTCGTTTTTCTACCCACCAGCAACAAACATTTTCTCTCTCCGAGACACTGTTTTTGATTTGTAAGCAGAGGCAATTAGTCTGGATCACTGGATGGCAAACTTTTTTTTTTTTTTAATAAGAACTAATTTAAGAAAAAAAATCCTTAAATTATATATTTTCACTTATGGGAACGGCCTTATTTTATTCCTTGGAGAAAATATAAATTCTCAAACAATTTTCTTCGTATATCAAAAGAGAACTTTCTATAAGACCTATCATTTTTTTATCCAATAAATAGCAGAGTATTTGAGAACAAAACACATATAGCTTTGTGATTTTTATCATTAAAGTTAACCAAGGATTAGTTGAACTACATGTGGTTCTGTGATTTGGAAATGTTCACCAGAATTGATTATAAAGGCATTTTCAGTTCAAAGTGTCAGTAGTACTTGATTTTACAGAGCAAAATTTTCTTGTTTCCAACAACTACAATTTGGAATTTGCATTGACATAAAAATTTATATTTGTCAATCATTTCTATAATCCATTAAAAAAGTGTGCGCAGCTGAACTGCTGAGAAAATTTACTCACATGTGAAATTGAAGTTTGGGAGTGCATTTATGACACTTGAATTATTAATGCCATCATTTGTTTCTTTTTCAAAATTACCTCTGAGGACCAAAGTTTAGCCACAGCAAATCTAAACTGAGTTTTATAGCTATTTGTCACTAATTATAAGTCTTTGAGTGAAAACATGTTAAAATACATGTATTTAATATTCAAATGTGGACATGAGAGTTTTCATGAAAATCAAAAACCTTGCTTATGACTCGGCATTCACAGACCTAATACTCACATCTTGCCTTCATGGAATGAAGTAGCAAGCAGATTTCTAACAAAAAGTGTCCATTCTATAGGAGTCCCTCTTTATTTCCCTCAGACTCTGAAGCCTCATTAGGAACTTTTTTTTCCACTTTATTCTCCCTAGTTAGTATAAGTAAACCTGTTAAAAGGAAACATCTAAAGGCTGAGAAAAATGTTCTTATCCCCTCTGCGAGCTTGGAATCTGCTAGTACCAGTGAGGATGATAAAAGAAGAACGCCAGAAGTTTAGAGCAAAGAAAAATGGAGGATTGTTGTTTTGTTTTGTTTGCTATGAAGTTGGAAAAGAAGTTGGCCTTGGATTCAGAATTATGTAACCTGTGCTCAGCTAATAGTACTTTTGCACTATTTAGTTGTTTGTGATTACTGTTAGGCTGCCTTTTCCTATACTGATGGGTAACATGAGAAAAGTAAATAATTACCAAAACAATCTCAGCTTCCAAAGGTTCTCTCACTTTTGATATTGTCACTGGGGGTGAAGCTGCAATCTGTGCCCTCCTTTTGGCCTTCTGTGTCTGAAGATTGGTAAAGTAGTTGACAGCCGCAAACTCAATAAGAGCTGAGAAGACGAAAGCAAAGCAAACAGCTATGAACCAATCCATGGCGGTTGCATACGACACTTTTGGCAAGGAGTGCCGAGCACTGATGCTTAATGTGGTCATGGTTAAAACAGTGGTGATCCCTACAGTGAAAAAAAAAAAAAAAAAAAGAAAGAAAGAAAAAAAGAAAAAAAAAGAAATGCAGTATTAGCATTTGGAATCCAAAAGCAACATCAAATGAGAATGTGTCAGTGGATTAAACACTCCAAATGTAATTTTTGATCTTGTTTTATAATTGTTCACAATTATTATATAGGTGTTACCATTTTTGAATTCTTCAATACCTAGTGGAGTGGCATATATACACTGTAGCTGCTCAAAAAATATTTTCTGATTCGATTTAGTTTAACTATTGTAAAATTTAACTTGTGAATAATTCTAGTTGTATACTTCTTAAGCAAATTTATAGCAAATAATCACTTAAGTACTAAAAACTTGAATTCTTGGTCAATTTGAATAGCTGATAATGTCTATCAACATATTTAAGAAGTCTATCTGGTATAAATAGTAAACATAAAATTAGGTTCCTCAGAATTTTTTGAAATTTCTAGCTTAGTTTTAAGGTAAAATATTTACTCATGAGAAAATAATTTCATCACTCCATCACCAGCAGTTTTATGTCTTGTATAATAGTTGGGAAATACACATAATTTAAAGATGATCAACATCATTATATAGATATTCTTTTATAATTTGCAGAAACAGATCTATTTTAATATAGGAAATTAAAAAGTAAAAATTCAATTGAGATTTTAGTTCAACTCAGATCTTCCCTATAAACCTCTCTAAATGTATAATCATGAAAACTCAGAAAAAATTGGCTTTTGTTATTGATGATATTTTCCGTTACAGCTTTTTCTCAAAACTAATAGTGATTCCACATATCATAAATAGTGAACTCAATAGGTTGAAACATGGGAAATTGGTTATATTTAACTATTTTGAGATCTAGAAAAACAACAGTTTATTATGATTCAAACTATTAAAGCAAGATATAATTTATAATAGATATAATTTATGTATTAAGTTTCAATAGCCTTTCTTTTCATGAATTTACATGTCACTTTTACTTTTCTGCTTTTCCTTAGTTATGAAAAAGCAAATTGAGATTAAAAAAAAAAAAACACTCCTAAATAGGGCACAAGAAAGGCACAGGAATCCAGCCAGAATTCTTGCCAAGACAAAGTTTTTCGTGGATTCACCACATAGCTTGGGATAACATAAAGGTCATTTAATATCATACATATGCCTGAATGAGACTGGAGTCTGTTCCCTTTGTGAATCGAAAAAGTGCACTAGTGTGAATATTCCCCTAAACTACACAAGCAGTAAGAGCCAGATGAGTGGAAGTATAGCCAAAGTGGGAAGCATACCAAATACGGTTCTGGCCGGGACAGACTCCTTATTAATCCAGAAGGACACCTGGGAAAGAATGACCGTCATAATGCAAGGAGTGTATATCTGTATCATGAAGTAGCCCATCTTCCTTTGCAAGTGGAAATAAACTGTCATTATTACGTATTCACCTGTTGGAAAACATGTATATCAGTATTATTGCTTTTGACAGGGTGCAGAAAGAATGCAGCTGGAAATAAATCTTGCAGATCTTTAACATGGGCTGGAAGAAAACAAGTAAAGTCATATTTCTCTGTATGACAAAGATACTTGATCAAGCAGATGATAGATACATCAGCTCATTGTTTTAGGTCGGGTTCTTTGTGTCATATGCATAGAAAATTACTTATTCCAAGGTTACATAAATCTTTTTATGCACATGGTTGCAAAATCAATTTTAAAGAAGGCTACTCATCACTTCAAAACAGCAAATATAGCCAAGGATAGCTAATGCAGAGAAGAAAGAAATAGATATTTTGAAAATGTGTATGAGAGTCACCTTGCTGGGTTACATTCATGAATTGGTCTAATTCTTACCTGTGTTAGATTTAATTGTCTCACTAGATACTGTTTGTCCAATCAGATCGTACTGGAGGAGACTTGAAGATTCTTCTGGGACTTCTACAGAGTAAAGTGGTCCTTTTTTCCAAGTATATATGATTTCACTTTTGGGGTAAGCATCTAAATTTTTAAAACCAATTAAACATAACAGTGAATCTGACTAGTTTTTTTTTTTTTCAGGGCAAATTTTGTCCATACAAAAAGGAACTACAAATGTAAATTTTCTTTAATTTTTTTTTTAATCTGGGTGACTAAAACCTCTGACTATTTATAAGATTGACAAACATGATTAAGTAAGTATATTTCTGGAATAACAATGAGAATATCATAGTAATATTTCTCTTTTGCTTTTTGGTCTTTGGCTACAATCAAATAATCATACACACACACACACACACACACATACACACACGTATTTTTAAAAGACTGCTGCCTTTATTTATTTATTTAGATTTATTTATTTCAGAGAAAGGGGTAGAGGAGAGAAGCAGAGGAAGAGGGAGACAAGTAGACTCTCCAATGAGTGTGGGAAGTCCTGAGGTGGGGCTTAATCCCAGGACCCTGAGATCATAACCTGAGCTGAAATCCAGAGTTAGACCATTAACCGACTAAGCCACTCACGTGTCCCAGTAATTATATTTTGAATGCATAACTTACAACTCCCAAACTTGAGTGGACAAGCATGCCCATCCATAGGAAAGTTAACCAGCCTCATGGGACAGTCAGCATTGATGGTAAGCCTAGGGACATTAAAATAAATGGTTCCATGTTAGTATGTGGACAAATCATTTGGATTAGAAATAGTTAAATTGCAGAAACCTCACCTCATGGTATATAGAATGGTTCCATTCTGCATTATTCTGAAGAGTTTATTAGGGGTTGTCATATTGTGTGCAATTGATTTTTTGCCATTCCTGAAAAAAGTGTCAGGTGTCCAGATTTTACTGACCATCAAGTTATTCAAACTCAGAATCTCAGTTGGCCCCCCAAACTTCAACCTCTCATCAGTCCAAGTCTGGCGGAAGAAAACGTCCATCGTATACTCCTAAGAGAAAATAAGATATTCATGCAAGCTGGGGAGATAATTTATTAAGAATAGTTTATTCACTAGCTTATATATCTAATTCTAAAATTTAGGAAATAAAACAACTTTTGTGATAATAGCTTCAGACTATCAGAGAACCTGTGACTTCAGTAATTATTATTTTTCTCAAACTCAAAAGTTTGCAATATTATTATAAAAGATAGCACTGTGTTTTGCCAAACTCCCTCCTCCACCTTAACCTTCTTCAACATTCTTCGTCTTTTCTATCAGTCATCCACCTCTCCATCTATTGACCTATCAAATTCCCCTCCACTAATTTAGAAGAAAAATATGAAAAGATTTACAGTCTAGGTTTTGTGCTGGCCTTCCTACCATCACAGTCTAGCACACCCTTCAGTGCCTTTTTCATTTTCAAAGGTGTCTCCAAACACCTTAGTACCATTTACCAAACTTCCAAGGATGGGTAAACTTTGCTTGATAAGTGTACTCTGGCTGCACATCCCAATAATTTTATATTGTTCTTGGAGAATATAAAAGCAAATATTACCATGATTACTCAGAGCATCATTTAAGTATGCATAATTGAAATTTTGAGTTTTAATTCATGGCTTTTACGAAATAACATTAGAAATATTAAGAATTATGGTAAGAGCCATTGCAAAAGTCAATGATAAATAACAGCTTGTAAGTATATAAAAATATTGCCAATAATTGCTTTGCCTACTTTATGTGTTCCTGTATGAGACCTATTACTACAAGTTGTGATTAGATTTTTAAAATATAATTTGACACACAGTATACCCATATAATAATGACCCAGGCTTTAATAAGTCTCTACTGTACAAATATACTTAAAAAATGAGACACATACATAAAATGAAGTGTCAAGTGTTCCCCAGACTTCAATAATATAGTATAGTATGGTTGTGGTTATTTATACTTGGGGTGAGTCAGTACTCAATGAAAAATATGATAGTAAAACAATTGAGGATTCTGGATAATGCTGACTCTCCTTTCTTTCAAGTCTTAAGACATTTTTCTCTTAAATAAAGTCCTTCCTGGGGCACCTGGGTGGCTTAGTGGGTTAAGCTTCTGCCTTCGGCTCAGGTCAAGATCTCAGGGTTCTGGGATCAAGCCCCACACCAGGCTTCTGCTCAGCAGGGAGCCTGCTTCTCCCTCTCTCTCTGCCTGCCTCTCTGCCTACTTGTGATCTCTGTCTGTCAAATAAATAAATAAAAATCTTAAAAAAAAAAATAGTCCTTCTCCCTCTCCTTCACTTCCTCGTTTTCTTTCTTACTTTTTTCCCTCCCTTCTCCTTTTATTTCTTCTGGTACTTCCTTTTATCCTCCTCTTGCCTCTTTCTTTTCTTGTCAACTCAAAGATCAGAAGATAAAAAAGTCTCCAATAACTATTTATCCAGAGCTACACTTCCCTAATAAACTTTAATGATTCAGTTATTTAAAGAGTTATGTGCATTTAGATTTTAGTATTTATATTTTACTTTTAGGGGGAAATGGTAACTGAAAACTGTGGAAAAAATATCATGATGCACTTTGTTCTAGAAGACTAGTTCAGATTTTCATTGCCACTTACTATAAATAATCTCTTGCGAATCCTACAGCCATCTGTACCTGGAACAGAGTTCCCAGAACACCTACTGGTCCATTTGCAACACAAAAGGTACAAAGCACTAGCTTTTCCAAATGATGCCCTTCACTGTTTTAATAAAATATACTGAAAATGATGTGCTACAGAAAACAGCCATATTTTAAGTTTCATGGATATTCTGAATATACTCTTACATGATATATCATCTTTGTTGATTTTTCTTTTTTTCTATTCTAAAAATTTACCAAGACTATATAAAGATGGGGAAACCTTATCTTTGTAGAAAATAATGGGTGCATGATACATGGCTAGAAGAGAGAATAGAATCTTAGAAAGTCCCACAGGTTAAAGTGTTCAAGCGGAGCCCTTAGTGAAATGTCAAGGCAATTAAGCCAGTAATCTGTTCTAATGACCATACCCTCCCGGCATGAACACACATATTGCATTAGGACTATGGAGCCCAGCTTGGTAACAATGTCCAAGATCATTAGTTCTGGGACTCTGCCCTCCCGCCAATAAGTAAAGTTACCCTCCTCACTCAGAGCTTACTCACCATCTCCACATCGGACACGGGCCCAAAACTGGTCACATAAATGTCTGTTTTGACTTCAGTGACAGCACCTGAAATTAGCCCAGAAGCATGGGGGCAAATATCACCAGTGATTTTAAGGACACTGAACTTAATGACCCTACCACAAAGTCCCTTCTCATGGTTAGAACCTGCAATCCATCCTAAAGGAATTCACTAGCAGAAGCCCTTGGGTTTTTCAACTATGAAAACTCAAACCAGTTGCATTATTTTGAAATTTTTCTGGTCAATTTGAAAAATTTAAGGAATGGAAGATAAGTAAGTTAGTGTTCTCATAATAATTATAACAATAACTAACACACCTTGGTAATTTTTTTGGGGGGGAACAAATGCTTAGAAAAGTGCTCTAGATGGAGAATCTCATTCTACACTCACGCAACTCTACGAGGCAAACACTATTCATACACCCACACTACAGCTGAGGAAGCTGAGGCTTAGAGAGTTCAAATAACATGCATAGAAGGTCACAAACAGAGGAAGGGACAGAGACTGGATGGAACATGTGGCCTCTCCCAGTACTCCTGCCCCTTACCAATCTGCAATCCTTATGAAGTCTCTGGGTCTTAGACAAAGGGAAGGGGGAAAGGAGAATATAGACATTTGGTTTAGTAAGGATGCTGCCTCTCACCTCCAAATCCTGGACGTAGCCGATTGTCATAGCCCTCAAGCAAGTTGTCCAGGATCCGACTGATGTTTCTGGAGTAGAAGTTTCCTTCATCTTCAAGTGTCCCTAGGTTATTTTCTACCCTGTGAGCAAACAGTCCATGATCCTCACTCCCGGGCTTAGAGAGAATAGGCTGTTCAATCTACTCATGTACCCCACCACAAATACATGCCACACCACCCAGGCTTCTTCCATGATTTGGTATAGAAGTCACCCAGTGGGTGTGTGCTCTTGTTTTCCTCTGCACTAAAATGAAAAATCAGAAAAAATCTTACTCACCATAGAAGAATGTAGAGCCAGGGCAGAGGTGATGCCATCCTGCAGTGCTCAGCAATGCCTAGTTCACCCTCCTCCTGTGCTCTCCTTCCTCTTAACAAGTCCCCCCCACCCTGACTTTGCCAATCAACTAAAGTAACCTTCCAGACCCCTCATATCTCTTTTCCCTATTTGCCTTCAGCCAGCAATCCAGAGATGAAGAGGTTGCCCGCAAAACTTGTTCTCTCTTCTGCCTTTTCACGTGGAACAAGGTGGCTTGTGGTCTTAGACTACATCCTGATGGACACTCAGCGTCTTCTGGTAGACTTACTTGGGAAAGGAGAGTCTGAAGGGACAGTGTATGGTTGGAGAGCAGTGACAATAATCGAATAAGGCATTAGGGGAGATTAGAAGGAAGAAATCCACTGCTAGTTTTGGCATGGAATTAGCAGGGCCCTGTGAGGAAATCTGGAAAGCAGTGGCATCTTGCTGATTGAGATTATGTTCCAATGGGCTCAGCATTTATTATTTCTGTGGTTCACGGAAGGATTCCTACACAGCTCTTACTGCTTAAAAAGTCCAACAATACTGAGATCCTTTTGAGTTCTCTTTCTGATTTCATCAGCTTTATTATATCAGAAACACCTTTCCTCTGCATTTAAAAATTGTCCCTCATTATTCTTTGAAAAGCATTTATAATATGCTAGAACAACACTTGACTGTCTTACTATTGGGTTAGTGTATTTTGTTCAAGTACCTTGTTGATCCTTCTTAAGATAGGACAGCTCAAGCTAAGCCATAAATGGGTCCTACCACTATCTTTAGAGAATTCATCAGTTTCATGGATGTCCGGAAATAGCTGATTAAAGTTCTCCCTGTAGAAATACTGTAAGAATAAAGCATCTCTGCACATGCTTATTGATGATTTGCTGGCACTATTTCACTAGGCTTGTCACAGGTCAAAAGCGAAATGTTTGAACCTAGGAAATAGCATTCTCTGACGAGTCTGGTAGATGGAAGTTGAAGAAAAAGAAGTCACTTTAAGCCTTAAAATTGTAATCTTTAAATAAATGATTTAAAATGAGAATAAAGAAAAGCATTGTGAATCTCTGTATATATATATTTAATTATATAGAATTAAATTAATAATATATATTAAATATTATATATATAAATAACATATTTAGAACATCAGGAACATAAGAAAAAGAACCAAATATCTCACATGACCATCATTCTGCCAGATCTACACAATATTTATCCAGTTCACAGTCTGTATCACCAGAATCTAAATTCTACAAAGATAATCGTTACTATTTCAGACATATAGCAGTCTTAAGAGTCATTTCTGAAGACATGACATAAATTATTTGAGGAACATTTCAATAAATTAGCTCTGACTAAAAAGAAACAATAGAAAAGGGTAAGACTGAAAGATTTCTGTGAAGCAGTTTTTTTTTTTTAAGATTACAGAATCTCACTGTTACATGGAATTTTTTTGTTATTCATCAAATATCAATATCCCCCAGTATTCTTGATAAGTGTTATTCAGCATCTGTTTTCTTAGATTGTTTTACTTGTGCTAAGCTGAAACCTGTGCCCTGGTCCTAGCTCTCACCTTTGAAACCATACACAATAATTTGTCAGGGAAAGACCACATGGCAGCCATCAAAACAAGATGTACATATACACTCAAATTCAAGTTAACATTCCTAAAATCTTCTCTTGTTCATTATAGGACCTGGTTTCCATATCTCTTCTTATTCTTTTCACACTAAACTGACTGTAATTGATGACCACAACACATTTTCAACTCCCATTGATTGTACAGTTATAATCTAAACCTTAACTGTGTGGTATATATGATGCTATGAAATAATTCTCTGTTCATTTTTGTTACAACTTACTATTTTCATTCAAGCATGGGACTCTGTATTGAGCTCTGTAGGCTTGCATGATTTTTTTCTATCAATATGTTTATCATCCATCTCTGATTTCTATCATCAGAGAGAAAACTTAATAAGGTGTTTAAGACTGGATTTTTTTCCTATGGCCAAAAAAAAAAAATGATCATGGGTGAGTTGTACCAATATACTTACTCTTAGAGAATGGATATGTTTTTCTCATTAAATTTGTTTATTTAAAAGAGACAAATAATAGTTAAGTCACATTTGTCTCTAAAGAGAATATTCACTCCTTGTACCATCACCAACAACAAGGTTTGTGTGTATAAAATAACTTATAAAGACTCAGGGATGTTTAGAGAAAATTATTGCACAGAAAAAGGAAACTTGGCACCAAACACTAAGTAGTACTTTCCATGATATAAAAGAGCCATTAGTTTTCCCATGTGTAGAAGGGGCTTGAACCAAAGGATTCTAGTATTTATGTAAGTGCTTCCTACCCAGTAAGAACTTGAAACATTTTTCCCTGTATGCCTTAGAAACTGTTATGGAGAGCAAGTCAGTCTAAAAATAATTAATGCAAGTTAAGACAGTATCAGTGAGAATTAACTTAGTATTAATAATAACTACCAAATATTTAACATTTGCCATAGGCCTAGAATTATGTTAAGAACCCATACACTCCCACTTATTCACTGCTAATACAAAAATCTATGAGTTGTCTATAATTGAGTCCATTTTGTAAATCAGCAAGTATGTAACTTGCCTAATCTCACAGCTAAAAAATGGCAGAATCAGAATTCAAAAGTGGGTATAAGCTAAGGCCACTGGACTGAATGCAGTGAAAAATAAGTTTCCATTGTATAAAAGAAATAATTTCTACCTGTGGTATTTATTCAAAGATGGAATGAGTACCGTAAAAGAAAACGAGTTACCTGTTAACAGAATATTCAAGTATAGCATAGAACACCACATGTAGATTTAATGGATGTTTGTTTCAGGAGGAAATGACATAATCCCTAAGAATATTCAGTAGGAGGCTGGGGCTATTTGGGGTCATTGTAAGGAAGAGTTGTTTGGTAGAGACCTCGAGTGAATATTTGGATTCAAAGATTCTATGAGGGAGTTTCTCTGAAGTGATGTGAGATGAGGGACTTAAAGGGTTTACTAGGAGGTACACTGGAGGAGAAAAATGGAGAGATACTACTAGGCTGTACTAAAAGAAGAAGAAAAAGTCATAGAATATATAATAATAATATTTGTTGAACACTTACTATATGTCAATCATGTACATTGATATTATCTCTAATCTGTGAAACTGTCTTACAAGGTAGCAATTTTCATCTTTATTTTACAAAGGATAAAATAAGGCTCACAAAAGATAAGTGTATCTATCCTAATATTCCAGAGCTAGTTATTATCTTGAATTCCTAGTATACTTTCATACTTGATGCTTTACATATGATAACTCTGACTGTTTTCTAAAGTTGGGACTGTTAAACCCTCTGGACCAACAATATTTTTTATATTGTTAAGGGATACCTGACCTCTCTGTGGACACTGTAGAAAATTCCCATGCAATACTGTTTGGGGATCCAATGCAATAAGAATAAAATTGCTCTGGGAGACAAAGGACAATAAAGAGAAAGTCCTCTGGTCACCAGCTTTAAATTGTTCTGGCTTGGTTACCAATAGAATGTTGAACACATTATATGGCATGGACATATAGGCAGGCAATATCAATTTCAAATCTTAAAACACAAATATTGAGGGAACAATAGTCATGTCCGAAAGATCACAGGTCTATGAATTCATGATTTATGCCTGTTCAACCAGTATCACTTCAATTTAATGTTTGTTTATTAAGTGCTTGGTGACAAACACTTGATGCTGAGGATATAGAAATTTAAAAAAATAATGCTTATCCTCAGGAAACTCATATTCTAGATATTAATATTAACATAATAGAACTGATAAGATACTGATTGCTAAATACATATGGTTAATTATTAGCCATGTGCAATGGGAACAGAGCGAAAAGTATCTGTGTGTGGGGGAGGGTGGTCAGTGATTATTTCATGAAAAGCACAACATTTGGACTGAGCTTGAGACATTGAATAAACTTTGAGCAGATTAGAAAAGGCCATTCCAGGCTGCTTTATGAACTCAGAGGTGTGGCAATTCATGGTATGTTTATAAACAGCAAATAAGTCTGAGAAACTAGAAAATAAGAAACAAAGGATATAATGGATAAAAAAGACTGGAAGATAAACATGGTCCAATAGAGAGAGATATCATGCTTCTCACTGGAGGATTTGAAAAATGTCATGGCCGTATGTAGCAGACTATGATGGAGTTGTCTAAGGAATTCATAACAGCACTTCTTCTCTGAGAATTGCCTTACTATTTTATAGGGGTAGGGACTTAATTTGTTATGGTTGTGCTACTTGATCCTGTGTCAAGCCTCTGTTGATTATACCACTTTGCTATCAGCTAACTTGGTTTCATCAGCAGGCAAGTAACTCAGGCAAATTATTTTTTACCTCTAGGTATCATCTTCATCACCTATAAAATGAAATTACAGGGTCTTGGTGAGGTTTAAATTAAAAATTCACTAAAGCCTTTATCACAGGAAATTGCCTATAGTAAACAAGAAGCAAAACCACCCATCTACATCACTACAAATATCATCACCCATAATCAACATTGTTGTTATCATTTGGGGCCAAACCATTTTTTTCCCCTCTAACATTTAGAAATGAAGTAAAAAAAAAAAAAAATAGAGATTGGTCTATGTAATTTACTAAGGCTGCCAGTGTTAGAGGAAGGCATATTTGGCCAAATTCATGCTAAATCAGAGAAATAGCTATAGACAGAGAGGAACAAGAAATGCAGTGGTCCTGCAGAAAAAAAAACAGAGACAATCACTGCAGAGACAAATCACTGCAACCCCAAAATCCTGAGAGAGCAACTGCCTGGAATTCTGATGGCCTCCCTGATTCCATTGCTTCATAATCTAGATGTCATTTCTATCTTGAGTTCCTTTTTATAACTTATTTTTATTTTTATTTATTTATTTTTGCTCCAGGTAAGGGGGTTACTGTCGCTGTCTCCTAAGGTGTCTTTTAGAGCTCAGAAGACTATATCCCAAACTTGAA